TCTCTCGCCACTGCAGAGCGCTCTAAAATCGCTGTTATGGAAATGCATCAGGATCAGGCTTTTCACTCTGCGCTCCCCCCCCCGCCCCGAAAACGGGTCCATTGATTAGAATGGGTATTGGAGAATAAACATGATTTATCATGCTACTTGTACTTTCTTAAGAAATCTCTATTTCGGATGATGACATACAGAAATGTTTACTTTGGGTGCCTAAGGAAAACAAGATAAAAGGCCCACTGATCATCAGATGGGAAATATTGCCCCTGCTATTTTAAAGAACGACTCCACTGCACCTCCACCACTGCTTGGGATAGCCGACAATCGCTGTCTCTTGAACTGTCTCAAGGCAGACGTCTTTAGTGGTTCGGTTCATACATCGTACTAAGCCATGGCTTGTTTAGCTGTTGGCACATTTATTCCACAAGAACCTATGCCATAAATTATGACTCACAAACCGCAATGGCAAGAGTCATTAAAACATCTCTAAATAATAAGCAAGTAAATGTCATATTATGGCACAGCGAATTCTGTGAACACAGCTCTTGGGTTGAATTCATATTAAGTTACGTGAACTTAGTTCCTATGGATATCAGTGGGACTTAAGTCAGGAGCTGACTTCCCCCTCTGCTTTAAGAGAGGCCGGATTTCATCTAAATTACAGAGCAAACCCTCAGCCATTTCCATAGTACAGTACTACTAATTTTTAATGGTGTCTTCCCCAGCACCAAATACATTAATTTGCAGGAAAGGCCAAATGGCCCACGCTTGCTGGAAACCTTCCTTTAAAGTGTTTACTGGGGAGGGGATGGACACAAGACCATTTCTGTTCTGGGATCTTTTTCCCTTCTAAGTCTCGAGCGCTTGTCTCCAACTCTCCTGGGAGTGGAGCCTCGGAAGAACTCTAGCTCCAAGGCTGCCAGGCAGGAGCAAAGCTGATGTTTCCACTTTACAACCCACTTCTGCATGTGCAAAAAGACTAAAACATTACCCGAAGATCAGGTGAACTTCTCCGTCTGCCTTTTCTGGACATGGGACGGTGTCATTTTCAGACAACTTTTCTGACGTGGAGACATAGCATGGAATGGAGATTTCCAAAGAGGGGGAGAAGGGAGAGACACCTTTTCTTGAGAAGCCAACTTCTGTTCGTGGCATTCCTTAAGTCCGCTCTCCTTGAGCTTCTGCAGCATTATCTCCTCCTCACCCCCACTGAATGTGAGGGCTGAGGGCTGAAGGGCAGCCGGGCTGACTTTTCTTGCACCTACTGCAAAGCAAATGGCTTTTCAGAGAGTGCGGTTCAGTGCTGATCCACAGCCTAAGAATAACGTTGAGGGAGCTCCTCTCTCTGCTGCCCAGCCAGGCTCCTTCACTGCCCGTTTCCTTTTCTTTCTCCTGTCTGAGTCCAGCAGCACCGCCGCAACTGCGCTGGATGAGACTCCCATCTTAACCCCTTAACCAGGAGCGCTCAGAGGCTCCCTCCACATTCCTCCTTCCATGAGGAGAAACCAGAGGAAATCTGTCGCCAGAACCACTCCGGCATCAAGTATCAAAGGTGGTTCCAGAGCCAGAAGACCTGGTGGGAAGTTGTTCCCAGAGTCGCCTTGGGATCTGGGTCCCCCCTCCAGAATGAATTACCCCTCCCCCGTTTCTCCTGACAGTCATTCCCCCACATTAAAGTCCGGCAGTTCAAACCCAGACTTTCTAAGCCAACAACTGCCTTTGAGCCCTAAATAAATACACCGTATGTAGGTCGTGCTTTGGCTCAGATGGAAACAGAACTCTCCATAACGGTGCAGCGACAGGCAATGAGCCATTAATCCAGGGAGGGGGAGCCTGAGGCCCTTCAGATAATGGTAAGCCACCACTTCCAGAAGCACCACCTGGCAAGGCAATGGGGACCATGGGGCATTGCAAAACACCGAAATCTCTGCCTCACCCTCATCCTCCCGTTGATAAATCACAAGGCAGATCTAGCTCCACTAGTTAGAACTTATTCCTGGCAGCTTGTGCTCTCTCTCATTCTCTCTCTCTTCTGCCCCCCCACCCCATTTTCAGGCCCCAAATGGCGACCTCTGAACTTTAACGCTGCCCAGTATTTGCCTATGCTGAGTTCAGAGACAAGGAAAACCACCGGGGAGGAGGAGGAGAAGAAACAATTCCCCCAAC